TCTATCTCTCTCTCTCACACACACACACACACAGACACACACACACACACACACACACACACACACACACACACACACACACACACACACTGACACACAGATTACCTGCTACTTGTGTTACGCCTCGTTTCGATTACGTTGGAATGAGTCTGTGTACAAATTTAATATCGTCTCTCAATATTTGATAGGCAGTCTGAAACCGAGCAGTAGCATGACTTGCTAATGTAATTATATGCCACGTAGGCTACTGAATCAAATTCACAATTGTTGTAAACGTAGGAAGTCATGATTAGACAAATTATATGTGCTAAAATATATTCATTACAAGAGTGAATAAATAATTTTTTTTATTTACTACTGACATACTGACATTAATATATATATATATATATCAGGAGTAGATAAAGGATTCCCTTTATCTATTCCTGATATATATATATATATATATATATATATATAGTATTATTTTGAATCAAGGATGCGACAATGACGTCGAAGTCTGAAAGTAATGCGTGCTTAACCTAAATAGCCGTGAACACAACCAAGTGCTTTTAATTCCTAACTCCCAAACCGGTTAGACAAATTTACTCGCGCCACTTATGTTTTAGACTGACCCCCACCAATCCTCACATAAGCCATACTCGTGGGTGTGTCGTAAGATGACGTAGATTAATACTTGTTTAATGATCTGTCTTATAAACAGCTCTGTAGCAAAGACCGCGGGTGTAACTAAAACCGAACAATTGCCTTAAGCTATAGACGATCACGTTTAACGCGTTCATATATTAAACCTCGTCTCGTCTATATATAGTCGTACATCGATCTATGTAAACAACTTTTTGACATGCTGGCGGATCCAGGAATGGGTTGCCAGGTAGGAGAGCAATTAATTCAGTAGCAAGGGGAGGGAATGGGGTCACGCTGCAAGCAACAACAACGGGGTCCATTTGCACACCTTCCGACAGTAATTGCTGGCCTCTAACGAGCACTTAATCTGTAAAACAATGGGCGAAAAGGAAGTTGGAAATGAACAGTTGCTTAGGATTCCTTTCACTGTTTTTTTTGTATAGAGTCTTGGAAAGGGGGCAGCGGGAGCTGCTGAATATATTCGTCAATGTGCCCTCGTAGCGTTACTAAGCATGATCAGAAGTAGATTAATCTAGGGTAGAGCGGCAGGTCCTTGATTCTACTACTCCTCTTATACACACACGCGCGCGCACACGATTGCACGGACACATCACACGCTACGGGTTCCGGTAGGCATACCTTGGAAATGTATACTGTCAAGGTAAACGATTTAAGGATTTAACCATGAACAATGATGTTATAAAAGAAATCCGACTATAAACTTTCAAGATACCTTGGAAATGTTTGTAATACCTAGATTTTCTTGTCCTTTCTTTCTTTCTTTTCTTACCCTTTCTTTGCGTTCACCCATCTTCGTACGTTTTCCTAGATCTGACGTAAATATAAATGTAAGCACGGGTTAAATTGAAATTTGCACATTGTGGAGGGGGATAAAATAGCAGCCGTGGGTAGGGGGATAAAAATACATTGTGTGATCATTAGAAGAAGTAGCTGGGTAGTACATAGCTGGTATGAAATCTTCGTTTCATTGTGTTTTTTTTTGGAATCTGTTTTTTTGGAATCTATTTTGTTGGAATCTGAAGTTGTCACGAAAATAGTGCGCTCTTTTGCATTCTGAACATGAAAAACAAGTACCTCTTGGAAAATCTTAGCACGGTAGAGTTATGTGTGTGGGGGGAAAGGGGGGGGGGCTCGCTCTGCCATCTTCCCCGGCATCGAGTAGCAATATTCCCCGAGTGGGGAAGTCTCTCATTTTGTAATCGATGCCGTAGAGTTTTAGACCGCAATCATTTTCAATAAGCGAGTTCGTGATTAGCCAAGAGGTTGTGTGACGTCACAGGTCACCGGGTCATTTGTGACAAAAATCGGTGAAATCTCGAGTGCGGCGTGCGCTCTCTGTTCAGTACGTATATATACATGTATTCTGTGTACGTGCACACGCACGCACGCACGCACGCACGTGTACGTTTACGTGCACACGCACGAACGCACGCACGTGTACGTGTACGTGTACGTGCACACGCACGTGTACGTGCACAAGCACGCGCGCACGCACGTGTACGCGCACACGCACGCACACACGCACGTGTACGTGCACACGCACGCACACACGCACGTGTACGTGCACACGCACGCACGCACACGTGCACACGCTTGTACGCACACGTGCATACGCATGCACGCACGCACGTGTACGCGCACACGCACGCACACACGCACGCACATGTGCACACGCTTGCACGCACACGTGAACACGCACGCACGCACGCACGCACCCACGCACGTGTACGTGCACACGCGAAGACTGTAGCATTACAACGACACAGATGCATGCGTATCTCAGTGTACTGTGCGGTCGAAATACGAAATGTTTTTCACAAATGACCTGACCCGGAAGAATTCGTGGTGCCAACTAGTTATCGCGCTTATGCGGAGGGACGCTGTTCAACAGTACGCAACTCGCTAACACAAGCACACACATCACGACACAATAGCAACACAACACACACCACACACACAGCACCAGCACACCAACACACACACACACACACACACAGCACACACAGCCACACACGCATACGCGTACCGCCACGCAGCGCGCGTACCCGCCTCGCCGCTTACTTCACCCAATATGTTGTTAGTTACTGCTTTGATATATTATATATAATACGGTACTTATGTATAATATTCGTACTATATTATATATATAGTCTACTAACACAAATACTGTTATTTAGTAGAGTATAAGTTTGTCTACCTATGCGCTCTCGCTTATTGTAATAAAACCTATAAATCATGCTGTATTTATTAGACAAAGCGAGCGAAGGCATCTACTATGGAAACTTCGCCGGAAAGTTTGAAGACAGCGTGGCATCGCATGATGTTGCCGGTAATGTCTACATCATGGATAAAAAGACTCTCTTCGTCAAAGGTTTCGTTTACGACGGACAAGCACCGGGTAAGTCTTCAGTCGAAGTGGAAGTATATATCCGCCTTACCTATGGTAGCCTAAATAGGTTACCAGAATTATATCTAATACCCTTGACTCATGCGTATTGACCAATGCGCATCAATGCGCATTGTAACCGAATGACATAATTCGATTTCATATGTGATACGTTGACACACCGAAAGCCGATACGATTCAGTTCGTTTCTGTACGATTCTGTACGATTCTGTTACGTACATACCGAATACGGATCAGAACGGTTCGCAAAAAGGAGATTCCAAATCCTGACGTCATAGCGAGGTGCATTCTGGGTATTTTCAACGAGATCTTCACGAGAACACCACGTGATTTCATCAAGTGACTAATCCTAAACCGAACAGAACCGTGTTCGTTCACACACCGCCAAACAGAACTGAATCGAACCGTAAGCGAACTGCTCAATCCACCTACGTAGGCCTATGTGGACTAAAAATAATGCGCATTGATGCGCATTACCACCGTATCTGGTGTGTACATAACCGCGTTGAAGCGCCTCAATGCGCATCAAAGCGCATTGAAAGTTCGGTGTGTCAACGGTATTACAATATCAATATATATATGTATGTGGTGGGGGGGTGCGTGTGCGTGTGCGTGTGCGCGTGTGTGTGCGTGTGCGTGTGTGTGCGTGCGTGCGTGCGTGCGTGCGTGCACGAGAGTATTTACATATAAATTTACATCGTTATATAATATATATATATATATATATATTATTATAGCTAGAAGCATGTAATTGCAGGAGGCCTTGCCGGCTGCCGTGTTACAGGGGCCGTCATGTGGGTGGGAACCTCTGGAACCAGACCATCGGGAAACGGAGTAGCTTTGTCAATCAGCCCAGGGTAAGCACATGTTTAACACATCTAAAGACAGTGTTAACACATTGTTAACACACATTTTAACACATTAGTTGTTAATTGTTAACACATTAATTTTAATTATTAACACATTGTTAATCACGATGTGAACATTGTGCTAACACAAAATATTAACACACAATGTTACGACTTTTTTTGTACAAAGTGTCTGCCTGTAGATCCCATGGTGGGCCCCAGCGGGCCAGAATCGCTGTGAAACAAATATTAGGTTATGCAGTCAAGCTACATTTGCAACACAATTGATTACGATAATACATTCATAAACATAGGTATCATATAATATCAGGAGTCTATCAATATTGATAGACTCCTGATAATATCATAACAGATATAATTCCAGAAGAATGATAATAAGAGACATTTATTAATTGTTACGAGGTGCTGTACCTGCCATGATGTTTCACTGTGTATGATTTATTGCGGCAAAGCGGTCGATGCGCGGAAGATAGTGTTGTTGGCCGCACGCCGTGACTTTGAACACCACATCGGTATAGAAAATCGGCGAAGTTTCGGTGAGCGCGTTCGCTTCGGTTAATTTCTGACGCGGGGTCAGTTTTCTGAGTATTGTCACGGCGCTGTACGGGTTTTGGGGCGTGGAGCGGTACCTGTTATGTGACAATCGTCAGCTATTTTTGGTTAATTGTCATTGATTAGGTTATTAAAAGGACATCTTGTAAAATACGTATAATCGTTCTGGCCATTTCTGTTGGGCGTTAGTTCAACGAACGGGCGGTCAGCGGCTGTTTTTAACGGCGACTTAAAATAATTATTAATTAGTAATCTAGATATACATATAATGCATATATAATGATACCAAATAATATGAATATAGAGTATATAAAAATAATATAATAAGAAATAGATATAATATAATACTGGAATATACTATAATATAATAGGTATTACTGAATGATAATATAGATATAAACTATAGATATAGATATAAATAAATAATAGATATAGAGTAATAATATAATATAATATAATATAAATATAAATATAATATAATATAATATAATATAATATAATATGATGTAATATAAATCGATATATATACATATAACAGTCACTATTATGAACTATTAGTTTGCTCTTTCATTATGCTTTATTATTTACTTGCATCAGGGCCGCCGTTGAGCCACTGGAAAAATTTGACGGCACGCGGGATCTTACACTCTCGCTACCAGGGAACCTTGAAGCAGGACAGCTTGCCTGGCTGTCTGTGTGGTGCGATCTATTCACCGTAAGTTAGGCGCTAAAGCATGCGTGTGTGGCGGGTTTTGGTTGACGTTGCGACAAAATGCGAGGCGATGTGCTAGATGTTCGTATTTTGGCGAAATGGGTCCATAGTCTCGCTTTATTCGAAAAATAATCTGGAAAAAGACAGAAGACGAAGACGGAGTGTGGTGGGTGAGGGGAGGCATGCCCATGCAGTGACGATGACAATGAGAGAACGAATACAAGAAAAATAAGTGCGAAAGGGGCAGCGATGCATGCATGCGTATTCTGGTGGCGCGGTTATTTTAATATAGTTTTAACAATCTCATTGATGCCATAGGTTGACTTTGGACATGTTTTGTTAGCAAACATGTTAGTCCCTGAACCAGTGACTATTAGTGGATTTGCCTTTGGGGCGCATAACATTATGTCCGGACCAGTGACTCTAAAGAATGAGAAAACACTAATTATTGAGGACTTCTCATATGACGGGAATGGACCAGGTGATTAGATAGTTTCAATCACAGATGGTATTTGTATGTTTATGATAAACTGTATATGATTATGCCGAAAATATTAGGAGCTATGTAAATAGTTTTTTTTACCAAGTACTACTGCCTCGAAAACGTGGGGGGGGGAATATTCGTAGAGCCTTTAAATCATTCATTTAACTCGTAATAGAGTGTCTTGCGTTAGCAGAGGGCTACATAAAGCCTCTCATTGAGAACTCGTCACTAAAGAGACTTGAACTTGATTGCTGGTTATAATTTTCTAGTTGGGAATTAATTTCTGATGCGGTTTCTGTATTCAAATCATGACGTTTCCAACGTTAGAATAAAACCTCATTCCCATTTGTGTTTTTAATTCAGGTGCATATTTTACCGTCGGAGTTGGCAGGCCATCTGTCCGCGGTTACAAAGTTCCTGATGAAAACGGCAGGTAATGTTAGTAAGTGTAGCACGTAGTTCAAAAACAAAATACGGCCAATATAGCATGCATATGAAATACATTTTGCAAACGTTCACTTATGTAGAGTTTTAATTTGATCATGATTTGATCATAGCAGCGTTTCTCATGTGCATGATTATTATTTTTTAGTGACAAGGCACTGGACCAGCCGTATGAAGGCACAACGATAGAGCTGACATTACCCGATGGCGTCACATTCCATGACGTTGAGTACTTCAGTATATATTGCTTTCCGTTTCGAGCAGATTTTGGACACTTCGCTATCCCGGAAATTCCCCGCGGCAATTTACCGTCTTCTCTTGCGACGCCAAAGCCAAAGGTAAACACTTAACTGTGCTTACTAAAGCAAAATACACCGATGATGTTTTGCAAAAATACCAAGTTTATCATTTGTACGGACACCCACGCTTAAAAAATACTGCTATCTCGTTGTCGGCTTCGTTTTTACTGGTGAAATTTAGTATATTTTGGTTGATGTGGATTTTTTCCCCGAATAGTGTTTATATAGGTTTAGTGGATGCCATTTTACTTCAGAAGAGTTCTTCTGGGGTGAACTGCGAGACGATGCTACCAGATGTCTTCAATGTTGCCTGGCTAACTCGACCAGACGCCATTCATATGATATTCACTGGCAGAATTGGTAGGCTATTTCATCACTGAATCCTACTACTCAAAACACCGTACTATATTACACTATGTAACTGTTAACGTGTGGTTCTGCCACAATTAATGTAAACATTCACGAACTGTGGGTGTGGCGCTTATACATACATATATATTATATATATGTATATAATATATATATATAGTATTATTTTGAATCAAGGATGCGACAATGACGTCGAAGTCTGAAAGTAATGCGTGCTTA